ATAGTTCGTGTAACATCTATAAATAATGATTCAACACCAAATAATGATATAAGACGTAATGTTAAATTTAAAAAATTACCTGGTGGTCTTAAAACTGAAACAGAAATAATTCATGGTTGTGTATTTACAAAAAATGTTGTACATCGTTGTATGCCATCAAAAATTGATGGACCACGTGTTTTATTACTTAAATCACAAATTGAATATCAACGTAGTGATGATCATCGTTTAACAACATTGGAACCTGTACTTAATCAAGAACAACATTATCTTTATTCATATGTTGATAAAATTAATTCACATTTTAAACCTGATATACTTGTTGTGGAAAAAAGTGTTAGCAGGTAGAAAAAAAAAAAAACTAAAGAATTTTGTTTTTTCATTTGAAAATTAAAATATTTGTTTTTTTTTTCTGTTTTATAGATTAGCACAAGATTTTATTATATCAAATGGTGTTGTATTAATATATAATGTAAAAGAAAGTATAATGCAACGTTTATCAAAATGTTTACGTACAACAATAATGACATCAATTGATAGTCGTTTACCATCAAATATTCAAACACCATTAGGTCGTTGTGAATATTTTCAAATAAAAGAATATGAATTAAATAATAGTTATAAAAAACGTTTAATGTTATTTGCTGGTTGTCCACCTGAATATGGTTGTACTGTATTAATACGTGGTGGTACATTACAACAATTAAAAGTTGTTAAATCTATTATGCGTTTATTTTTACTTATAACATATAGTACACAATTAGAACAATCATTTTTAAATGATTGTTATGGACAAATAAATGATAATTATAATGATTATTTATTATTAATAAAACAATTTAATTTAGAACAATATATTGATACAATTATAACAAATAAACAATCAATTATTGATTTAATAACAAATGGTCTTCTTTTATCAACATCACCATATGTTAAATATAATATTCCATATATTTTAACATATACATATCGACAATATGTACCAAGTGAATTACTTTATCAAAATATATATAATAATAAATATCAACAAAAACGAGATAATAGTAATTGTTCATTTGATGATGATAAACAAATAAAAGATACAAATATATATAGTTGGTTTTATAATTCACCATATAATAATGAAATTATTCATGTTCATGATAAACATAAATTTATTAAAGATAATACGATTTTACCTGGTATTGATCAAAATTCGAAAGTAAATAATTAGAATAGTTCTTAACGAAAAAAAAAACTTCTTATTCTATTTCAGAGATCGGCAAAGGACACTTTTGTCCTGCCTTTAAGGTTGGACAGAGCACATAAACTAATGAGGAAACTTCTTCAGGTGTCAAATTACTTTTCGAGCGAAACGATGTTCATTTGATGAATGATAGAAAAGTCTAGAATGGTTTGATTTACCAAGCCTTTGTTCTTGAGATATCGAAATTTTACTGGGTTGTTCAACAAAAAAGTTGTGGTCTTCCTCAAGTCATGTGAAAAATCGACTTTCAAATT